CTTGGCCCGTCGTGGCGAGTCGGGGGCTCGAAAACAGCATGCGACAAGCGCGCAAGAAACCCAAATCTAATCAATGAACTTTCCCTCTCGGGGCTTCTGGTGACCCTCTGGGAGCGCCTTGAGGCGTCTTGTAAGCCCTTGGGGCTGTCTTGAAACAATCTCGGGCCGTCCTGGGACTCTCCAGGCCCGTGTTCGAAGCCTCTGGGATCGTCTGCAGGGTTTGGGGGTGAGACATCGGGCTTTGGGACGCCTGTCGGGATCTCTTCGGAGGCCTCTCGGGTACTGTGGGGGCGGTTTGGGGGCCTCTTGGGAGCCTCTTGGGGGTCTCTTGTGGATTCCTGGAAGCTTCTGGGGGCCTCCTAAGAAGCCTCTTGGGGGCCCGTTTGGAATTCCTGGGGGCCCAGGTGCGCGGAGATGTCGACATTGTGGTTCGTGCTAACCCTCTGGAACCGATCTTGGGCGGTTCCTGAGGTACTTTTAAGCCGTCTTGGAGGTCTCCTGGGCCGTCTTGGGGGCCTCTTGGGCCAGCTGGGAGCCCACTTGGGGCCATCCTAGGGCGTCTCGCGGTGATGTTCGGGGCCTCTCTGAAGTAGTCCTGGGGCCCCAGGAAACCGAAGAAACGAACGCGCGAAAACCTTCAACAACCAGCGGGAAACAATTGATCTTGCCACTTGGGGCTCTCTTGGGGTGCCTCTAGGAAACCTTTTAAAAACGTCTTGAAAACGTTTCGGGCCGTCTGGGAGCTCTCGTGAAGCGTCTTGGGGGCGTTTTGGGCCAACTGGAGGCCACCAAAGTATCCGGGGACACAATCGGCGACTCGGGGTTCTCTTGGGCCGTCTCGGAAACCTTCTGGGACGGGCCCGGGCCCCCAGTTCCACCGCGCGCTGTCGCGTCCCGGGCCCCGGGTCCCTCCCCTGGCCTCATAAACAAGGTCGGTCTCGTGCGGTAACTTCTGATAATGGTGAAGGTCGCTGGCTGGCAAAACATTCGTGCCCCGCAACGGGCATAGCTGTTCCAGGGCTGGGAATAGGACATCGCGACATCGCTTTGCCCAAGCGCTGTGACTGCCAAACCCGCGCGAACACATCATGCGTAAGTTTAATAGACGCGTGCGCGCACCGTTGTGGGCGGGCGCAAATCAGCCTCGGTTGCGCATAGGTCGCGCGCGTGACATGGCGACGCGACCGCGGCTTCGCTGCGCAGGCGTGATTCATCATCGTCGCGCGCCAGGGATGGGTCGCCGCTTGGTGGGGCAGCGCTGTCCCCGCGGCGAGCGCGCTTCGCAGGACTGTTGATTTCCAAGCACGGCGCGCCGCGGGGAGGGGCCGAGGGGGGGCGCTGCCTCCCCGCCGCGCGTGCGCTTCGCAGGCGTTTGCAATCTGGATGAGGCGCTGTGTGCGCGCGCGCTCGCGTGGCGCGTGCCTCCCTGGCGCGTGCTCTTTCTCTTTTCGCGTGTGTCGCGCCCGCGCCCGCGCGCAGACGCGCGCGCGCAGACGCGCGCGCGCACTGTGTATGTGTCTGTGTCTGCACGCTTCGCATGGATCTGCAGTTCTGTGTGCGCTGTGCCTTCGATCGCGAGTAGCACTTCCATCTGCTGCTCGCGCTTGAAGACCCTCAGCATCGCTGGCTTCAAGCGACTTACAGTGTCTGTGTGTATGTGTGTTGCGTGCGTTGTGTGTTTGTGTGGTGCGTGCGTGTGTTGTGTTGTGGGTGTGTTGTGTTGTGGGTTTGTGTGTTGTGTTTGTGCTTGTGTTTGTGTTTTTTTATTGTGTGTGCGTGTGTGTGTGTGTGTGCTCGTGTATTGTACGGATCTGCCTGCGCTGTCCACCCCCAAGTGTGCGCCATCGCGAACGGTTGATGTCGCGGTCGCCCGCGTTCAGCGTTGCTATTTGTCCAGACTTTGTCTTTTCGGACGTGCGTGTTTTCGCGCTACTTGCACCTGCGTGGCGTTCTGTCGTGTCTTTTGCATGCTCAGCGGCGTCGTTTGTCGCGCTGGTGCGCGTTTCGCGTCGCCGCCCCGCTGGCTGGCCTGGGGGCCCTGCAACCCTTTTCGTTTTACTGCGTAATTAGCACCAGACTGCTGCCCACGCTTCAAACTCTTGGCGTCGAGCAACTCTTCACGGGATGCTTGGCCGCTTCGTTTTGGCTCTGCAGTGCCTCATCCTCTTCGCCACCACCGCCGACCTGCATGGCCGTGGTTGAATTTTTTATCGCGGCGCGTTCGGCTAAGTTCGTTCGCCATTGGTGCCTCCATCTGGCGACCGCGCCTGAGATGCCTCTGCGCTGCCGACTTAGAAGCGTGTGTTTGTGTGTCTTTCCGTGGCTGGATTATTTCACCATGGCGCGTTCAACAGGGGCGTTCGGAATTGGCGCCTCCACCTGTCGACCGCGCCTGAGGCTCCTTTGCGCCGCCGACTGAAACACATGTTTGCGCGTGCGTGTGTGCGCGTGTGTGTGTGTGTGTGTGTGTGTGTGTGTGTGTGTTTGTTTGTTTGTTTGTTTGTTTGTTTGTTTGTTTGTTTGTGTGTGTGTGTGCGTCACGTCTCGTGTTGGCTGGGGCGCTGACGTTCTTGCGCCCCCAAGGATGCGCGTGGCAATTTCAAGGGGCACCGCTCGTGGTCGGCGCCTCTTTCAGTCTGGCAGCTTGTCCGGCGGCGGCCTTGCCGCCTTGCTGCTTGCACCTTGGCATGGGGCGCGGGCTGGCATGTCCTCGGCCTGTTTAATGTTTTGCTTCCTGCATCGCATCTGGGGCGCGCGTCCGCAACTGGGGCTGCATTTCGCATCCGCTGCTGGCTCTAGCTGTATGTCAGCTTGATTGCCGGCATCTATGCGTTGGCGCAACCTTATGACGGCTTCGCTGTGCTCGCCCTTCTTTTCGCATTGTCGCCTTTGGTCGGTGTGGTGCGACCTTTGAGGTGATTCGTGCAGTCTCTATTGAGCCGAGATTGTTATCCATCGTTCTTTTTTTGCTTTCACCTACTCATGGTGGGCTTCGTGGCTTTGGCTGCGTTGGGGTTGCTGTCTTAACGATGGCGCCTGCACTCCGTGCTGGACATGCTCGCGCCTGTCTACTACCCATGGTCATTCTCGCGCCTAACCACCACCCATGTGCGCCGCCGCGTGAAGCGATGGCTGCCCGCGGTCGCCCGCGTTCAGTTTTTTTATTGTCTAAGGGTAAATCAGCCTCGGTCGCGTGATCATCTTTGTCGCGCTGACCTCTTGCATTCTGTTGCACGGTCGCTTTTGTGTCCGTGCCCGTTGCAAGGCCGGTGGCGTCGCTTTGTCGCGCAGCTTCCTGCGTGTATGCGCCGCCTTCAAGTTTGCTGGTCTGGCAGCTTTCCAATTCGTTATTGTCGCTTCTTGAGGCTCTAATCAGCGCGAAATTGCTGGTTACGCTTCAAACTTCCTGCGTTGAGCTTTCGCTCCGTGGGTTCTTTGGCCGCTGCATCTTGCCTTTGCAGCGCCTGATTTTTCCGCCAATTTGCATGGCCATGGCAAGATTTTTTTATCATGGCGCGTTCGATCAAGTTCGTTCACAATTGGCACCTCCACCTGCCGACCGCGCCTGAGGCTCCAGTGCGCCGCCGCCTTCAAACAATATCCTGGCGAAAGGCCCAACCATATGCAATTGTGAATGGCGCGCTGTGGGTGCCGCTTTCGGGGGGGGCCCCCTATGAGGCCACGAAGCGCGTGAGTGACGTGCCGTAGTGGGTGGGGGAGACGCATGCGGGCGGTGCCACTGGGGCCTTCGGTGGGGCTCCCTATGGGCCACGAGACGCTGTCCTGGGTGTGGCTGACGCATGCGGGCGGTGCCCCTCGCTCGAGCTCCCGAGGAGGCCACGAAGCGCTGTACTGGTTGAGGGAAACGCGTGCGGGCGGTGCCGCTGGGGTCTTTCTGTGGAGCTCCCTGCGGGGCCACGAAACGCTGCACTGGGTGGTGGCCGACGCATGCGGGCGGTGCCCCTGGGACCTTCGGTGGAGCTCCATATGGGGCCACGGGAGGGGGGGCGTATGCGGGTGGTGCCACTGGGGCCTTCGGCGGAGCTCCCTATGGGAGCTCCGCTCCACCGAAGGTGACGAGAGTTCAACAGACTGCAGATATGGGAGGGACCCCCCTCACACTGACGGAGAGAAGGGAGAAACAGCATGAAGAGAAGAGGACCAGGAAGAAGAGGGCAGGAGAAAGCAAGAGAGAGAGAGAGAGAGAGCCCGAGAGAGAGAGATAGAGAGCGAGAGAGAGCGAGAGAGAGAGAGAGAGAGCGAGAGCGAGAGTGATAGCGGGCACGGGCACCCCGCACGAAGGATGGGGTCGAAGACCCCGCTCGTGCTCCGCTCCGGCGCCGTGGACCTTTCAGCACGGCAGCGGGTGCCCCGGCTCTCCCGCCGCCGCCGCTGCCGCCGCCGCTGCTGCTCGTCCTCCCCGCCCTGCGCGCTCCTCCCCCCCCGCCCCTGCCCTTCCTCCTCCTCCTCCTCCTCCTCCTCCTCCTCCTCCTCCTCCTCCTCCTCCTCCCCCTCCTCCTCCTCCTCCTCCTCCTCCTTCTCCTCCTCCTCCCCCTCCTCCTCCTCCTCCTCCTCCTCCCCCTCCTCCTCCTCCTCCTCCTCCTCCTCCTCCTCCTCCTCCTCCTCCTCCTCCTCCTCCTCCTCCTCCTCCTCCTCCTCCTCCTCCTCCTCCTCCGCCCTCCTCCCCCTCGGCCGCCTCCTGCTCCGCCTCCTGCTTCGCCGCCTCCGCCTGCTGCTCCTCCCGCCCCCTTCTGCTCTGCATGCTCCGCCTGGCCCCGCTTTCTCCCCTCCCCTCTCTGTGTGCGATTCGCCCCACCCCCGCTCGGACATGCCGCCTGCAGTCGAAGCGGGGGTCCCCACGAGGGGGTGGCAGCCCACCCCGATAAATCCACCTGGGGGACGAAGACACACGGGCTTCAATCGGGGGGGCATTGCGACCGCTCGCGGTGGCTTACGCAGGCCGCTCACGCGGCGCACCACGCGTGCGAGGGGGCGCATGCGCGCGACCTTACGCCGACAACTTGCGCACGAATGCCCGCGCAATCGCAGCAAAACTTTGACGTCGCTCACCCGTAAGCCCTGGAAGGCATTCGGGAGTGGCCTTGTGCTAGCCGACGAGCTTTTCCCACATGTTTTTCCTTCAGAGCGGCGGAGCTCCTTTCCATCGCGTTTGCGGCCCGCGTGGATCTACGAGCAAAGATGCGAGCACCGGGCCGCCTGCCCTGAAGGCAGGGCGGCGGGCGACGGTGCTGTGCGAAGGTTGGGCAGAGCACGGCGCCGGCGGCCGAGCGTCGTGCAGGAGCAGGGCGTGAGGCAGGCAGGAAGGAGCGTGAGAAGAGCACGAATTCATGGCAGAGCACTGCGAGGATCGAGGCAGGGTTGCCGAGTGCTCGACCCTCGCGCACTTGCGAGCGACGAGGCTGTAAAAAGCAAAGGCAGCGCGATGGCCTGGGCGGCTACTCTTATAGGTTGCGCGACTGACTCGTGCAATGCAATGCAGGGAAGTGAAGCGATCATCATGAGCAGTAAGAGGTAGAAGGCACAGACATCTCTGGCGACGAAAGACTGCCACACCGTTATGCAACCTGCTGGCGATAGCGAATTCGTTTGCGGCAGATGGCCTGCGCAACAGTTGCGCTCACTGGGCGCAGCAACATGTTTTGTCGCCACATCCCACATCCAGAGGATCAGCAACGGCTGCTGACTCCGCCACCGTGCCTGCGGCACGTTGGGGCGTGGAATACTGCCAAAGGCTGCGTGGCAGGGCTTCTGAAGTCTTCTAAGCGACCCCCCCCAGGTCACGCTTCCCTGACCTATTGCTAGGGGCCCCTGGGCGGTCATGGCGCCTCTCTGGGGTTCTCCAAAGCTTCCATGACGGCCCAGGAGGCACACCCAGGCCGCCCGAGAGGCTTCCCAAACAGTCCAAGAGCGCTTCAATGCGCCCAAGATGGCCCCAAGACGGCTCAGAGGATCCAAAGAAGCCCCAGGAGCGCTCCAAGAGGACCCCAAGAGGGCCCAAAGAGGCAACAATCATAGTTGTTCAGTTTTTTCCTGATGTTTTTCACGTTCTCGCCTTTTCAAGCTTCCGACGCTCCAAGACGGCCCCAGAGGCACCCAAAACCGCCCCAACACGGCCCAAGAGGTCCCCAAGAAGGGCTCAAGACGGCCCAAGAGGGCCGCCAACCAGCCCCAAAAGCGCCCCAAAGCGCCCAAGACAACCCCTGATAACCCCAAGACGGCCCCAGGAAGGGCCCAAGAGAGGGACACGAACCGACACTTCGAGCCTTCCGCCCGAAGGGGCCCCCAGGAGGCCTCAAGAGGCCCCCCCAGGAGGCCCCCCCGGATAGCCCCAAAGAGGCCTCACAACTGCCTCCAACAGGCCCCCGGAGGCCTCCCGCGTTGTCCCAGCGACCATCCTGGAGGCCTATGACCCACAATCCAAGCACGGTGGCGGGACTTGCCGTAGGCAGCTGGCTATCGGAACACCCGCACGGCATGAGCTGCCTGCAGCAGCACTCGGCGCCACTCGTGGCATGCCGCCCTTCGAGCCTTGGGGTGCGGACCCGTGGGGCAGCCCTGCGACGGAGAGCTCTCGAGGATGTCCTGGCCTGTGTTTTTACCTTCTTGAAGCGCCGCCAGGCGAACTTAACAGAGGACCCAAGCCGCATAAGGGACAGTGTGCATGGAATCCTACAGGGCAGTTTTTAAATTCATCGGATTTGTTTAAACATCTATGATTTTTAGTACGTGGTTAATGTATGCATACATGTATGCCTGAACTCAACGTTACCTTTATACTAAATCCCTGCACTTTTAATGCGTGATCCGCACGCGGAACATGTATAAAAAAGCGGCACTGTGCCACCTCCCATCCTTCGCCCCCTACATGTGCCACATGCTGGTCCCCGAAGCCCGATGAGAGAGCCCTTGTGTAGGACACTCCTGTTCCTTACTTCGAGCCCTCGCGAGGCCCCTGTCGCCCGCTGCCGTTTGGCCCTGGCGAGGCCCCTTGACCGTCATACGGACCAGCCATCGCCGCGCGATGGCCAGCTGAAAAGTGCGAGATAATTCGAATCGCTTACGCGACTCCGCCAGTGGTAGAGGAGCCTGCCAGCGGAGAGCAGAAGACCCATGGCCTCGACAGCGTCGGGCAGTTCGACCAGCGGCGGACGGAGCCCCGGCAGCGCCGAGGAATTCAACAGCGACAAGCTCGTCCGCGACGGGCACAGCAACTGGCAGAACACCTTCGGCCAGTTCAGGTTTGCAGCGACAAACAACACGGACCACATCAGCGATGGCGGGCCAGGAACGTGAAGATCCAAGTTACGGTGGTGGCGGCGGAGAAGGACACAACCTCATCCTGGTCTGGGAGGGGGCGCCGCAAGGTTGGGGGCGCGACCGCGACGACGTGGCGATCCGGGCGTTAAGCACCAACCTGGAAGTGAACTACCGTGTGGCAGCGATATTGGTCTCTGGACTACGCGGCGCGGCTCGGCAAGTTGGGCTTCGCATTTCTCGAGGTCAGCTTCAGCCTCTACCAGAGGTGGCGGCTCAGCACGACGGCGGCGGCAGCGCAGTGCAGGAGGCTCACCCGGCGGACTGCATGCGCGGGAGCAACCACGTGCTGACGGCTCTCGAAGCGGCGCTCGGCGGCCAGCACGCGGTGCGACGTGGTGAGGCCATGGGAGGATTCTTCAAGGGCGTGAGGTACAGCGGCGGCAGATACAGCAGCGACCTCAACAGCAACAGCAGTCACCAGCACGGCAGATTCGGAGGTCAGCGGCGCTTCCAGCAGGGCAGCGGCTCGTCAGGCGCAAAGGGCGTGAACGCTACAGAGCACGAGGACTGCTACGACAACGACAAGCAGGAGCCAGAGCACGAACACGACGCGCAGACGGCCACGAGGTGAACGAGGATGTTTCCGAGAAACAGGGGTTCGTGCGGCACGAGCTTGAGGCGCTGGCTATGAGCTGGAGGACGCGGAGGTCGACCTGCCGCCCGAGCAGACGGCGGCGCTGGAGGAAGCAGCACTTCAAGTTTCACAGCTGCCCGAGGCGCTCGAGGTTATCAGGGACGCTCGCGGCCGGATCAAGGGCAACGACGGCGGCAAGCATAATGGCAAGGCTCGAGGCAGGTCTGGTGGACGTGCACCTGCAGTTCCTGGTCGCGGGGCCTCGCGCGGTGGAGGCGGCAAGGGCCGCGAGCTTGCGGAGAAGCTGAAGCTGCGCAAGCAGAAGTCTACGTGCAAGGCGTGCGGACAACAGGGGCATTAGGCTGGAGACTCGGAGTGCGAGGCCCCGAGTCCTAGTTTCGTGACGGCTGCTGGCGACTCGGACTCCGCGAACGACGCCTTGGCAGTCGAGCAGGTAAACGACAAGACGTTGGACGAGAAGCAGATCCTCCGCAACGAGCTGGTGCGTTTGGTGAAGGATCACCTCAGGGGCGTGGTCGACACGGCGTGCGTCATCTCGGTGATGGGCGACGTCTGGTGGGAGACCTACCTTGAGGTGCTGAAGGAGCTCGGGATCGACGACCTCGTCGAGCGCGAGGAGATCTGCGAGAAGTTCAGGTTCGGCGAGGGCGGCACCCTCATGTCCTGCGAGGCCTTCCGTTTCCCCGCCGCGGTCGCGGGTATGCCCGTCCTGGTCAGGGCCTGCGTCGTGAAGAGCGACAAGCTCAGCTTGTTTCTGGGACGCGGCTTCCTGGAGGCGATCGGCGCGGGCATTGACGTGGCGCGCCAGAAGCTCACCGTGGGCTCGGTTTCCCAACCTTTGCCAGACTCCGAGAACCGCCACTTCGCGTTGGAGCTGAAGCCAGAAAAGTACAAGCGCTCTCGGAGACGCACTCGGGCAAGGAAGAGCTTCCGCCTGAGCTGGGCCACCGAGCCCGGCCTTCGCCTTTCCCGCGCGGCGAAATTTTGGGAACCTTGGTCCTGAAAGTCTTTGCCATCGCGGCGGCCATGTGTGGTGCCGGGGCGCGCGGTGACAAGCATCTCGACATGGAGATCAACCGGACCACCGAGGCCAACACGAGGAACATCATCACAGAGCACATCGGGCCCAAGAACGACCTGCAGAGCACCAGCGACACGTGGGCATTGGCTTCGTTGGGGCCCCCAGCTTCGGTGACTCCTAAGGCGTGCAGTTCGTACGGCGCCTGTTCGGGATGCTGTAGGACCTCCGACCTCTTCGAGTGCCAGGGTTGCGGACTGGGAACGTGCACGTCGTGTCTTCGGGGACTGCAGTGTTCGAGGTGCTACCACGGCGCCGCCCTCAGCAAGACCGAGGTCGGCAGCGGCGCGGAGTTTGCAGTACAACACCAGCAGTGGAGACGGCTTCGCAACGGCTCTGCAGCTCAACACAAGGCTGGTTTACGACAAGCGAGCGCACTACACGAACACGGAATCAGACCAGCGTTTGAGAAGAAGACGTTGGAGACACAGCTAAACGACACCTTGGTATCAACATCATCGCGAGCAGCACGGAGCACACGGCCAAGGAAGGCACATACCATGGTGGAGTATTGTTGTGAGAAGGACAGTCTCATGGCAGAGGCTTGGGCGGCAGCAGGCGGCGAAACATATCGACTCGGAATTCCAGCGGAGGATCTACGGCAGCGCAAGTACACCGGGAAGGCAGGCGACATGCTTGAGAAGTCGGCCCAAGAAGGAGATGGACGTGCAGACGTCTTGTGGGGCAGCCTGCCCTGCAGCCCCTGGACGGCGCTGCGGAACTTCATGAAGAACAAGACTCAGCTGGCCCTTGACCGGGCCGAGAGCAAGCACGCGATCAAGCTGTTCATCGTGGAGGTGGAGCGCGCCCTGGAGGCGGGCGCGATGGCAGCTTTCGAGTGGCCGGTCCACTGCCACGGCTGGAGGGAGCCCGAGCTCGAGGAGCTCAGGCCGTTGCTACCCTTCGAGTGTGTGTTCGACGGCTGTGCCTACGGCCTCAAGGACAACAGGACCGACAAGTATGTGAAGAAGCCGTGGAAGGTACTTACTAGCCACCGGTCGCTGCAGAAGTTCCTCCACCTACGGTGCCCTCAAGATCACGATCATCTTCAAGGCCGGGAATTTAATAAGACTACTTCGAGGAAGACGGGGCTTTACACCCAGGCGCTGTGCAAGGCAGCGGTGAAGGGGTTCCTGAGGGGCGTTTCGGACGTTAACTACACCCTGGTGACGCTGCGGAACGACTCCGAGGGCGAGAGCGTGGAGAAGGAGCTTCAAAATATCCTGGCAGCGCTGGAGCCGGAGCAGAAGATCACGCTTACGCGGGCAGTCGCCAAGATGCACACCAACCTTGGGCACCCGGGTAATCGGGGGCACTGGCGCGAGCGATTCGCTTGGCAGGCGGGTCGAAGTACACTATTGCTGCAGCGCTTGTTCATCATTGCCCTACGTGCATCAAGTTGGCCGCGCCTACGTCTACTGCAGCTTCGTCTCTATGAGATCGCTGGAGGGAGTTCGGCGATTGCCAGGCCGTCGACACCTTCGAGCTTGCCGACTCCAAGGGCGTCATTCGGGTGTTCCTCAACATGATCGACATGACCTCCAAGTACCAGATCGTGGTTCCAGTGGCTTCGCGCAAGCCTACGGTTATTTGGCAAGCTATGCTGGACTCTTGGCTACTCACGCTGGGCGTCCCCAACGTTGTGATGGCAGACATGGGCGGCGAGTTCGAGCGCGAGGTCAAGGAGGAGCTGGAGCGCATGGGCTCGAGGATCGTCTCGAGCGCCTCCTACAGCCCGACGCAAGACGCCATCTGCGAGAGGCACGGCCGTGGCAGGCCCACGCCAAGGCACTCATCACAGAGTTCTTCCTTACGTTCACGGACGCCGACCAGGTCAGGTGGTTAACGGCAGCGATCAACTACGCTGTGAACTCAGTCGTGGGCCCATCAGAATATTATTCATCGCAGTGGGTTTTTCGGGTCGCGGTATCGAGACACCCTATCAGCTGCTCGGCCGGCACAGCAGCCTCAGACTACGCCGACGGATGCTAGACGACAAGGAGCCAAGTTTTCGACAAAGAATTGGCCTACTTGGAGCTGCTCGCCCCTCGGTTGCGGCTCTTGAAGCAAATCACAAGATCAGGGAGGCCTTCCTCGCCAAGAGCAGGGCCGCCACTGCGGCTCCAGCAGCAGTTCCCTACCAGGTCGGGGACGAGGAATTCTACTGGAGGGGCCTTTGCAAGGCCCGGGCCGAGCGGCATTGGGCAGAACGGTGGCATGGACCAGCAGTCGTTATCGGGCACGAGGCGAACAACCTTTGGCTAGCACGCCGCAACTTGACGATCAAGGCGTCGGCTCGGCACGTTCGAGCTGCGGATGCGTCGGAGCTCATCGGCTGGAAGGAGATCTTCGAGAAAGCCGTGAAGCCTATCCAGGCTACTGGACGACTAGCTTGGTATTCACCGCCGCTTCGGGTGACCGAGAGATGCCGATGGATGGGTCGACGACGATACACCACAGGTGGAAGCACCCCCGCTGGGTGACCTCAACCACGAGCACGCCAAGGCATCCCCAGACATGGACCAGCTACCGACGGGGGAGGAGCCTCAGGCCATGGAAGAGACTCCCTGCCTACAGCCAGCTGCGAAGAGACGCCTACCCCGGATCGACTGGAACAAGAAGGCCGCGGAGATTTACCCGACACCGTTTCCGCAGCTCATGCTGGAAGGACCTGCTTATCCTGCCGAGCCGCCGGAAGAGGTACCACAACTACCGCAACAACAGCCCGAGCAGCATGTCAGTTTCGAGGACGAGACCCCGCGGCTTCATGCACCGGCCCTAGCACTACAACACCAAGTACCTGATCCTGAGCCTCCGACTCCATACCTCCATGAGAACGAAGAGACGCCGCAGGTGCAGGAACGGCCAGAGCCGGAGTACCAGGAGATCGTGGAGGGGGCCGATACACCCTACTAGGACTTCCAGTAGTTATCCTGAGGAGGACGACACTTACCAGGAGCAGGACGATACGTCCCACGACGGCGAGGAGGATCAGGAGTGGTGGGGCGAGACGGCGAACCAAGGAGGAGCGCCAAGTTCAGAAGGAGCGTCAGGTTCAGGAGGAGCGGCTTCATCAAGTTCGGCTACGACGTCCTAGCCTACACCGTTCAAGGGGAGAGCAACAAATACTGATACCGCTACTCCCCAGACTTCTCCTGGGGTGCGTTCTGACCAGGATCTCGAGGCGGATCCAGCGGCGGCGACGAGGACCGCCCAGGACGCCCAAAAAGGGGAAAACTGGCGAAGGGTAGAGGTACTCCAAATCCCTTATTAATCGACCCCCCCCAAAAACCGGACCCACCTCCAAATGCGACCTAATATTCTGGACCCCTTCTTCGACGGGGCGCCTTGATACACCGGACCCCCTAAGCTCCGATCGAAAGAAAGCGCCCCAAATAAACTGGACCCCCCCGGTTACAAAAGAGGCGCTTAAAAAAACCGGACCTGGGGGACGATCAATAAGGGATTTGGAGTAGCGTCGGAGAGGCAGAGGCCCGCCGACCACGACCACCTCGACGACGCGCCGATCCTCGCAAGGCGACCCTCGAGTAGCGCAGGAGGCCCAGCGAGCTCAGGCTCGGGTACCGAGTTGGCCGAGGACGCCCGGGAGAGCCTCGGGAGAAGATGGCACGGCACACGCTACAGTCGGACTTCGTTCTCCTCCTCCTCCTCCTCTCCCTCCTCCTCCTCCTCCTCCTCTTCCTCCTCCTCCTCCTCCGCCTCCTTCCTCTCCTCCTCCTCCTCCTCCGGAGAGGACACGCGAGAGGAGACAAGACCCTTCCAGGGGCCACGTTGCCACAGACATGCAGGAGGCATGGGTCGCCAGACACAGGACACGAGGGTACCCTTGATCTGGCAGGGTCGACCTACGAAGCTGGGCCGCCTGTAGTACAGTGAAGGCATTGGATCAGGAACCATTGGAGAAGGAATCAAGGGCCTGGAAGCCAGTGGAACTCCACTCGTGGATCAGCCATGGATATCGCTGCCGGCCTCATCAGATGAGCAATCCTCCAAGGGTCTGAAGCCTCCTGGGCACGATCCTTAACGAACGCCCACCCCCGCACTACAAGTCGAAGGAGTTCGAGGTTGTTTCTCGACGAAGGCCGCCCGCTCGAAGGAGGCCGACTTGGACACTATCTCCGGAGACGACATCAGGGAGCTGTTGGCGTCTACGGGGGACGAGTTGGAGAAGTGGGCCGCTATCGGCGCAGCAAAGAGGTGCCTGGACCACGAGCTCAAGCAGCACTTGGCCAAGGGCGCGAAGGTGGTTGGTACACGCTGGGTGGTCACGCTGAAGCAGACGAAGAGGTCGAAGTTCAAGTCGAGACTTGTGGTCCAAGGCTGCCAGGGGCGCTCGGCCTACATCAGGAGCGACGCCCCCACGGGCTCGGTGGACGCGCTGATGATTACCCTGGGTTTCATGGCCCAGAAGGGCTGGACAGGGTGCTCTTACGACGCGAAGTCGGCTTACCTGCAAGCTGAGGGCGTCGACAGGCTGCTGCTCATCAGGATGCCGAAGCGGCACCCTACGGATCCAGGGAAGGTGTTCTACGCGCAAGGCTCCATCTACGGCACGAAGAACGCCGGCCTGGCGTGGTATGAGCATCTGAAGGCCTACCTGCACAAGAAGGGCATTTTCGAATCGAAGTTGGAGCGCGGAGTTTACAGGTACTACGTCAACGGCGAGCTGAAGATGGTTATCCACAGCCATGTGGACGACCTACTCGTGACCAAGCAAGCTGTCTGCCCGGAGGTCGATGACATCTTGGAGGAGATGACCGGCTACTTGCATCTTAACTGGCGCGATCGGGAGTTCGAGTATTGTGGAGTGCATATGAAGGATACCGAGAGTGGCATGCACGTCACGCAGGCGAAGGCTATCAAGGCAGTCGAGCTCATCCCGATCACCCTGGAGCGCAAGAAGGATCTAGACGACTCGGCCACCATGGAGGAGTTGAGTGCATTCCGAAGCACGAACGGACAACTACAATGGCTGGCCCATCGTTCGCGGCCGGACATCGCTTTCGAGCAGATCAGGCTGGCGCAGCGCACCTCCGACTTGAAGGCTCAGGACCTTATCGATGCGAACAAGCTCGCCGACTACGTGAAGCAGAACATCGAGCATGGTTTGTTTTTCAGGACGGGCGTTGTGAATATAAAAGACGGTGCTGTTTTGGCTTATGGAGATTCATCTTTCGCTAACATGCCAGGAGAGAAAGAGCCAAGCAGGTGCAGTTCTGTGTTTGACGAACACACCTCAAGAAATTGTGGACGTCCGTTTCGAAAAACAAGTGCCTCTGGTTTGGGCAAGTTTCCGTGTGAAACGTATTGTGAGATCTACCTTGGCAGCAGAAGCTTCCAGTATTAGTGAAGCCATGGAGCATGGACAGTTTCTACGACAATTCCTTCAAGAGCTATATTTGCCACCAGAGACCAATTTGAAGCAGATCGAGGTATTATCTACATCAAGACCGATTTTGGTTATTACCGACATCGACAATCTCAAGGTTACTGTGAATAAACAAGGACAGCGGCTCTGTTGTTGATAAGCGCTTGCGTATCGTGGTCTCTATGCTGCGTGAAAGCGTTGAAGCTCAAGAGAATACTACACTGATTTGCACAAGAACAGACACTATGGCGGCAGAGAGTTCAACCAAGAGTTTGACATGCTTAGCTATGTTGACTGCTTTCGTTGGTTCCAGGGAATGTGTTATTCCGCCGTCACAGCGCAGACGTCAAGCAGCGAAGGCTACACAGGTGCTGATGCCATCACGGACAGATAACCCCGCGGAGGAGTACGACCACGGGTGGATCAAGTACCTCGAGCGGGCGTACGACCAGGAGTGGATCAAGTTCGGCACCTGCGAGCTTGGGGGAGCCTTTGAGGAATTCGACCAAGGGTGGAGCGAATTCGGCAATGCTTGGAGTTCGGATTGCGACGATTGCTTCGAGTATCCTTCCAGTGAGGGCTACAACGACATATCATGATGAGGGTGACGCTGCGATCGTGTACATCCTGCTGGCCATTATATTCCTGATGATTGCGGCGATTGGGCACTTCATGTGGCAGATGAGGAGTTTGAGAGCAGCTGTGGAAGTTCGTCGCGTACCAGCGGCCCGGTGGTGCGAACCAGTTCGACGAGCTACGCGACCGGCGCCGAGGTCGGAGGTGATCCTCGAGGACTCCGACGAGCACATCACCGACGAGATAAGGTTCGGCGACGAGCCAGTGAGCGTCGAGACGCACAAAGGTGTCACGGACCGGCCGGGTCCCAAGGCCAGGCCCAGACGAACTACCGAGGTCAAGACAGTGCAGGAGGATTTTGCCTTTGCCCAGCTCGAGAGGAAGCTGAGCTCGCAGGGGCTCACCAGCATCCCAGTCATTGTGAAGGTCAGCGACGAAGTTTTTCGGTGCTGCGACGCCATGGGCGGACAGATCAGCAAGGACGACGCCAACCAGAAGGCCAACAATGTGTGCTACAACTGTGATCCGGTGACCGCGGAGAGCGGAAGGCTGCGAAGACGGGGAGCGTACTGCGGCTACCAGGAGGCTCGGAGTGCTACTGGCGCGTCTGAGCAGGCAGGTGCATCGAGCAGCTCAGCTCAGTGAAGGGGCTATTCCATATTCTACATATCACGGTCATGGCGAGCGGTTCGATTTAATGAAGCTTATGATCCATGTTCCTTGAGTTTTGTATCGACCAGCGGTTCGACTTGATAAGTTTTCAGATGATGGGTGCTACGGCTGGCATCTGGCAGGAAGGAGGAGCAGACAGTGTGCATGTGTTCCTACCGCTTCCCATCCTTCGCCCCCTACATGTACCACATGTTGGTCCCCGAGGCCCAATGAGATAGCCCCTGTGTAGAACACTCCTGCTCCTTGCTCAGAGCCCTCGCGAGGTCCCTGTCGCCCGCTGCCGTTTGGCCCTGGCTAGGGCCCTTGACCAATCCTACGGACCAGCCATCGCCGCGCGGTGGCCGGCTGAAGAGTGCGAGATATTCGAATCATCACACGCCTCCGCCAACGAGTGCTCGGCCGACGGCCGATCTTCCCCGAGGATGCCCGCCACCGTCGCGCGCAGGCCGGTGTCGAGCAGCAGGCCGCCTCGGATGGCGGCCTCGAGCACGCGGAGGGCGTCGGCGGGCCGCTCCTCCTGCCTGCACATGCTGACGACCAGGGCAACGGTGCCAGGCTCGGGGGCGGACCTGGAAGAGGGAAACCCTGCACGACATCGCCCAGACCTTCTCGGAGGTCCGAGCGGGTTTCTTGGGCCGGCGAAGGGCCCGTGCTGGCGGCGCCTCCGGCGCCGCCCCTGGCGCGATTCGCGCGTCAGGGGACGGGGGGTCCAGCACCGTCCAGAGTCGGCCCAAGAAATGCGAGCGGGCCTCTGACATTTTCTGGTATTGGTGTTTTTGTTCGAGGACCCTCTCTCAACCATGGACTCGAAGTCGTTGAGGGTCTTCTCCAGGAGCTGACACTTCTCGCCGTCCCGCATCCTGGCGAAGCGCTTTAGAACAACGCCCGCCGTGCGGTCCATTGCCAGCGCTGAGATCAGCGCGCCGTAGGTCCCCGCATCGGGCGTGATGCCCTGGCTGTCCATGTACACGAACATCCAGAGAGCTCTCTCCACGTGCCCACCCTTGGCGAGCGCCCTAATCGCATCCTTGTAGGTGGCGACGCTGAGCCTCCGTCCGCGATGGTCCTCGTACTGATGTCGTTGGGCCTCAAGACCGAATATTGCAACCCATGGGTCCCATGAGATGCAGCCGCAATCGGCCATGTGAACGCTCAGCTGCTTATACAACCCGCGAACGTCGCCGAACCCGCGGGTGAACCAGCCCGATTCCCAGTGCTGCTTCTGGGTAGTCACTAGGTGGATCTTCATGGGGTCTGGCTCATTCAGCTGCTTCACGAGTGTCTCCCTTACGATCATGAGCGTCTCCGGCATGGAAGGGTCATATACGTTTTGGCCGGTTTCCACGTCTACGTCGATCATCGTGCGGATCAGCCATGTCCGGATCTGTGCGAGCTTGATGACCTGGAAGAGGTTCTCATCGTCGTCGGTCATATGGCCATTTGTGGTCACGAGGATGATGTCGAAATGCAATAGACCCATGTCGCGTAAGTACCTCTGGGTGGGGGACGCGTTCGGTAGATCCCAGATCGAATGAGTAGTAGCACTGTGGTGAATCTGGTATCGTTTTGGAGCTCCAGAAGCACAAGTTCCGCCTTTCACTCGCTGAAACGACTCAAGGTCCGGAGAGGCTCCAGCCTCCAGAAGGCGCTCGATCAAGGACGTTCTGCCAGTCCCAGCACTCCCGAGAACGCCGACGTTCACGAACCGGTCCACCTGCTGTACGTCCTCCTCGGCGCTCTTGAGCACGGGGGTCACGAAGGGCCGCAGGTACTCTGGGATGGGGTGGCTGCGGTTCAGCTCGCCCCACCTCTCCAGCCTCTCCGCGTGGGCTCGCTGGTGCTCCCCCCGCAGCGCCGCGACCTCGGCCTGGTCAGTATCGTCCAACCCATCCCCATCCCCACCCGGCCGTGGTAGCCCTGCCCCACCATCCCACCACCCCAGTTGGGGAGTAGACCCTCGAGGCCCGACGGGAGCAACCTCCATCCCCATCTGGGGGGGCGGGGCGGGGTGCACCGGCCAGTGGGGCCCAGACCGCGCCAGTGGGGATGATGGGGATCCCCAGACATCCGACGTCTCGATTTTTTTGAGACACGGGTCCCCGACCTCCCGACCACTTCCCCGGGGCCGGTTTTTCGCCCCGAATCGTTTTTTGACGGTCCCGAGGCCTGGCGAGGGCCCCAGAGAGGCCGGAAACCACGAAAAACCTCCGCCTCGCTTTTTTCGAGACGCCCGATGTCCGGGTCCCCTGAGATCCGACGTTGCAGAAAAATTGAAACACCTCCAAAAAATCACTCCTGGAGCCCCAGACCCCATCGTTCTGCTTCACTTCTCGAGCCGCATCGATCTGAGAGGGCCCCAGGGCCCGAAAAGTGAGCGAAAACGCCTGCTGTGAAAAAATTGCAGCGCCAGGATCTCAGGGTCGGTGCAGGGATGCTCCGCCTTCGGGAGCGGCCCAGAGGGGGGTGTCCAAGAGGGGGGTGTGCAAATCATGATCGGCGGCATGTGCGCGGCCCAGCGGGGGGGCCAGGGGCGTAATGAAACACGGAGAGGCGCCGTGAAATCTGGGGAACTATCATGGCCCACGCCATGATATCCCCCCCCCCCCATAGTCATCACCCCCCTTTTTTCCGCCCCCGACGCCTGGGGGAGCCGCACCTCGAGGAGCGCCGGCCCGAGAGGCCCGGGCGCCCGCTGCGGCTCGGGGCGCGCCGCGGCGGCCGCGGCCGCCGCCCCGCCCAGATGATCTGCAATCCTCAACATAGTGAGGATGTGGATAATTCTGAGAATATATGCAAGGATCCGCCTGCATATCTTCACAAGTGCGTTTGAATAAAATCCTCCTTCTCCTCCTTTTTCTCCTCCTCCTCCGCCTTCTCTTCCCCCGTCCTTCTCCTGTTGTCTCTTCCTCCTCCCTCACTCCTCTTCCCCCTCTACTCCTTCTCACCCTCCCCTCCTTGTCCTCCTCTTCTCCCTTATCCTCGTTGCCCCCGTTTCTCTCGTTATCTTGCCCTGTTTTGCTGACGATGCTGGTATCGATGTTGCAATGCTGGCTTCCTGAAGATGATTTTCTCAGCGTTTGTATTCTGAACTGTCATCAAGAAGCACGGTATCGAAGACGCACCACAGCCACTTGAAGAACGTATTGACGCACACTGTTTTGGGATGCAACCCTTCTGCGATTGATATGAGCCGTCCAACTAAATCCTCATCCCCGTATGTCCAGAAATACCGAGCGTTTCCTATTTGCGGAATCTGGTCTAAGCAAAGATGCGTGACAAATGCATTTTGGGGCTCATCTTCCAAAGTTTTGCGTTTCTTTCGAAGCTAATGTATGACAACCTGACGCATCTGGAAGCAATGATTTCACAAACCTCTTTGATTTCGCGTTGGCCGTCTGGTCGAACGAACATGCTTTCATTATCGAGTATTTCGTAAAAACGAGCCATGCACTGGGCGACACCAAGAACCATTTCATCTGTTTGATCTCCAGGGTTACAAAATCTCGAGATGAGGTCCAGCGCGTACCGAGTCAACATTCTCATCGCCGCAGCTTTCCCAGATAGCTTAGGCCAATTCCCCCCAGTAGACCTCAATCGATCAGCAGTGATGGGGCCATGAAATCGGTAGGGGCACTTCGTCTCATTATACCAGCGAGTGAGATCAGACTGGCAGCGCTTCGCGCGCTCAGCATATGTAGAGCCACCAAACGAATTCTTCAGAACACCGACATGCCATATCACATTTGCAACAATATGGCTCGTGATACCCAAGTCACGTGTGTGAAGGACGTCCACCGTCACGCACTCTAGCCTAAGGCCAAGCACTTCTTGAAACAGAACTGGCACCGCACGCCCTGTTTCTCGGCGATCTCCAATGTACGTTTCGTGTGTCCACCTCGTAGTGCGCCAACCAGCGCCCGCACTGACATCCGTCCAGGCCCTGTCTCTGTGGGCGTTGCTGGCGCGGCAGAAGGGGCGCATGATCTCGCTCTCGTTCCACTGGGGGAAGTAACACATCTCTTTGTAGAATTGCCAACCCCCACGTATCTGGCAAAGGCACCCTCGAAAGCCGCCTGCCAGAGGCGTACCTCCACCGTTTAAATGACGACCTCTCCAATCGACGTGGGGCCATTCACCGCTCAACATCACATGGCAACTCCACCCGAAAATTCGAAGTAAAGAATCAAGCGCATCAGATGTCATGTCTGATTTGCGGCACACAGTGTAAAGAAATATTGTTTGAATAGGTTTGCCTGTTGCTGTGGGCGAATTCCAGGCCAGCCCATGCATGGAGTCTGCTTTGCAGAATGCACCACCGTCGCCATGGAAACCCAGAGGAACACATCGACTCCAGGTCCCACGAGGGAGGTGCGGATGCTTTCTCACAAATTCAGTGCCCGACATTTGTTCCCATAATGAAAGCAGCTCGCCGCCGTGACCCACGATGCGCTGATCCCAGACACCTTTGCGCATCTCGCAAACACGGTTGCAGAACTTGTGAGGGCAGATAATTGGGTGTGGCACGGCCCTGCCAGACTTCAATGGGACCTCGACCCAACCAATCGGTGGCGAGCCTTCTGGCTAACCGAACACGTTTTTCAAATCCCTCAGCAGATTCTGAGGCCATCTGCCATAAGTTCCGACTGCGGCCAAATCATCAATTCCAATGGCGCCTTGTTGTTGGGCTGCATATGCGTATTGCTGAACTCTGACCGACGATAGGGCTCTCGTCGCCCAGTCCTTGCGCATGGCATCCGTGAATGGAGCGCTCGCTGGTGTAGATAGTGGAGCTGCATTGTCTTGCAACGCCGACGCTGAGGTTCGCTGGCGAACCCCTCCTCGACGATGGGGCTCTGGAGGTGCCCCATCACGCGCAGACTCGTCCACGCTCCAATCGGCGTCGCCCACGCGACGCCTGAGCGAGCCGACGCGTACCATCCCACAGACAACGAGGAAACATATGAAGCGAGCCATGCTGGTGGAAACGAGCTTGAGCCCAAGTGGCTATGGAGCGGACGTTCGTTTGGCTAACGAGCGTTTGAGTGCACTGCGCGTTTCGGTTCTAATGTGCTGAATCTGCCCCGAGACAAAGTGCCAACAGCAGCGCGCAGCACACAACCTCCACACCAACAACGACAACAACAAACAACACAACAACACAGTCACTCACACACCAGATTGATGATGCTGGCGATGCTGGTGATGATTTGCGTCATCATCTTCTGCTACGTCTTGTCTTCGCTTGACCTTACTAGGTGGCGAGGGAGAGTCTAAGATTTGTCGTTTTGATGTGTTCAGTGCCGTCCTCATTGCGTCTGCTGCTGCTGTGCTGTGCTGTGCTGTGCTGTGCTGTGCTGTGAACGCACTTCCCCCAATAGCTGCTTCTGCTGCCTGCGTGAGTGATGGCATCTGGTTTTCTGTTGCAAGCCTTCGTCGTTCGACCGAGTCCAGACGAAGGGGAGGAAGGAAGAGGGGTCAGGAAGGAGAGGAATGGGACGAGGACCAGGAGAGTGAGGAGATGCGAGGAACATGGTTATGTGGCGAAAGCTGGTGGACTGCTGGCGGCTGCCCAGTCCTGAAACGGCGCGCGAGAGAGCATCCCCAAGCTCGCAAACGTGCTTGTCGAAGTTACCGTTGAGCCATGCTGTCTAGGAAGACTTCTGCGAGCGCCTCTGGCGCTTGTTGGGCTCGGGTGCGGGCGCCTGGTAGAAGTCGAACGTCGTGGCCCGCATCTTGGTGCTCTCGTCCTCCAAGTCGACCTGCTTGAGCAACTCTACGAACTTGGGACGTTCTGAACCCTCGGCGCTCTCGGTGCAGAGCCTGTCCAGTAGCTTGACGGCCTTGGTCACCTTGTTGATGTGCTTGTCCACATCTTTCTCGAAAGTCTCGATGTACTTCTGATTCTTGATGCCGGCCTTGGTTTTGATGACCTTGCAATCCACGAGCATGTCCTGGTACTTTCTCAGCGTTGCCTTCACGTTCATCTTGAGGGTCTCCACCTCCTTGGCCATCTTCATTCATGGTCTCGGACTTGCCCTCAACCTTCTCTTGCGCGTTGTCCATCCCTGGAACGCCAGAAGAAGGGCCAACCGTGGTAGACGACGCGAGGTACTTCTCCAAGTCCTCTTCGTCGGCTTCCCCCTTGCACGACAAGACGAACTCCTCCATCTGCTTGTCCGTCATCCGCTGCCAGTCGGTAGGCACTGGCCACTCCACGTACTCAGGCTCCGTGCGGCCTGTCAGGCTGTCGGGCCTCGACTTCAGCACCGTCCTCCACAAGGCGCCCTTCTTCTCCCCGATCTCGGGGTCCATCTTCCCCTGGGACATCCAGACGATGTCCTTGTTGAGCGTCTTCTCGGTGGAGTGCCCTGTGGTGACGGAGCTCTGCTTCTCGGTGCCCTTGCACCTCATCTGGTGCACGAGGAGTAGCTCCAGGCACTTCTTTTTACTGTCGCCTCTCGCAGACGACGCCTCGACGTCAGGATTGCTCTGCAGGAAGTGTTTCATCGATTGCTTCTTCGAGGCAAGCTCCTTCTGCTGAGCCTCTGGAGCATCGGGCTTCCCCCGAGGCCGCTGAGTGAAACATTTAGTGAAACATGAAACATGCATATTTTCACTTTTCACTTTATGTTTCAGTGGTCAGCCGATTGGGGTAGTCAGGCCCTCAGCCTTGGCCAAGATGTCGCGGGCCCTCTGGGGCCCCCCCCTCGCTGGAGTCACGGTTGACAGTTTCGCTGGAGTTATTTTCGGTGGCATGGCGGCGGTCGCGTGCGAGCGCGTGCGTTAGCGCGCGCTGGTCAATCTTGAGCCCAAGTGGCTACCGCGGGTGGCAGAGGGGGGGGGGGGGGTGGGAGGTGCGGGATGCAAGGAGGGGCCCAGTGACTCATTTCAGGCACCCCTACGTTTCCTGACATCTCGGAGGCTGGCATCCTGGAGGCTCCCTGACATCTCTGAGGGACAGCGCGCGCACTGGTTCACAGCTGACGCGCTGAAAAGCGAAACATGCATGTTTCAGTTTTCACTTCACTATGACACCGTATATATATATATATATATATATATATATATATATATATATATATCGGAGGTGAGGGGGTGAGATCGAAGTGGAACGGAGAGCCCCCCTACCGGGAAATCGATTTCGGTTTCGTGTTCGTGCGTGCCGCGCGGGCGAGGCGAAGCTGCGTGGGAGGGCGAGAGGAAAGTCTCCTGTGGCTGCGGCGCGGCCGGACCAAATGATTCTCCCTCGGGCGGCCGGTGGCGCGCGGTGTCCCGCCAGTGTCCCGTCGGTGTCCCGTCGGTGTCCCGATGATGATGTTGATGATGATTATGATGATGATTATGATGGTGATGAGATGATGTTGATGATGGCGAAGATGATGATGATGTTGATGTTGATGATGACGTCGATAGTGATATCGATTGTGAGATCGATAGTCAGATCGAATGCGAGATCGATTGTGATATCGATTGTGAGATCAATAGCGAGACCGAATGTGAGATCGATTGTGGGATCGATTGTGAGATTTATTGTGAGATCGATAGTCAGATCGATTGTGAGATCTATCGATTGAGATCGATTGTGAGATCGGTAGTGAGTTCGATAGTGAGATCAATCGAGTGCGACGTTGGTCCCTCCCCCCCCTCACCTCCTTATCGCCCGAAGGGTGGTCTATGCGGTATATATATATATATATATATATCGGAGGTGAGGGGGTGAGATCGAAGTGGAACGGAGAGCCCCCCTACCGGGAAATCGATTTCGGTTTCGTGTTCGTGCGTGCCGTGCGGGCGAGGCGAAGCTGCGTGGGCGGGCGAGAGGAAAGTCTCCTGTGGCTGAGGCGCGGCCCGACCAAATGATTCTCCCCCGGGCGGCCGGTGGCGCGCGGTGTCCCGCTGGTGTCCCGCCGGTGTCCCGTCGGTGTCCCGTCGGTGCCCCGATGATGATGTTGATGGTGATTATGATGGTGATTATGATGATGATGGTAATGATGATTATGAGATAATGTTGATGATGGCGATGATGATGATGTTGATGTTGATGATGATGATGACGTCGATAGTGATATCGATTGTGAGATCGATAGTCAGATCGAATGCGAGATCGATTGTGAGATCAATAGCGAGACCGGATGTGAGATCGGTTGTGGGATCGATTGTGAGATTTATTGTGAGATCGATTGTGAGTTCGATAGTGAGATCAATCGAGTGCGACGTTGGTCCCTTCCCCCCCCCCTCACCTCCTTATCGCCCAAAGGGTGGTCTTTGCGGTGTATATATATATGGTCCCTGAGAAATAAAATGTGGAAAGTGAAAAGTGGCGCATGCATTTTTCACTTTTTAGTGCAGCTCGCCTGACAGTCGTTCCACTCCGGATGATCTCGGCGCAAGTGTGACCATGCAAAGGCCTCAGGGCGGCACGAGTGCATTTCTACTGGCTGAGCTTCGGAGGGTGGTCGAGTCTGTCACGGAAGAACCCCGAGCTCCTCGCTGGGCCCACCGACGGGCGCTTTCTCTCTTCAGGCGCGGGCGAAGGTTGAGGGCTCCGCATGGGGGCCGGAGGGCGGAAGTGGAGGTGGGTAGCCAGCCAGACCTTCTGTTTTGAGGTAGACGCCCCCCCCTAGACTCCTGGGGGCGGCGCATGGGGGAAGCGGCGGGGGTTGGGGGGGGGGGGGGGATCTTTGATAGAGGTGGAATGCCCCTCCCCCAGGTTTCTGACGCCCCTTGATTTTCAGGAACGAGGAACTTTACCGCTCCTTCCACTCCCCTACTACCCCCTCCTCCTGCCCCCTCCGTGCTGTTTCTTGCGCTTGCAGCGAAGCCGCTTGCTTGGAAAAAACTAAGGTCTCCCTGGGCGGAGCAGTGCAGGCGCTGCCCCCTCGCGTCCCGAACGAATAAGAGCATTCGCGCAGCTGGATGCCGATCTCACACGCTCGCGCTCTTGTTGTTCTTGCCTGTAATCCTGCGCCTCTTCGCGGGAGCTGAACGACCGAACGAGGCGTCCTCGATATCAGAGTCAGCGTCGACAGGTGCAGGCGGGGCGCTCGCGCTGGCACCTCCTCTCACGCCCTGATCCTTCTCGATGAAAGGGGCGGCCGATTTCTTGAGTTCAGGCCAGCGCCCCTGCAACTCGGCGACCCTCTCAGTTTCGAGAACTGCGGCGATGTCGAACGTCTTCGAGCTGAGCAAGTGCATCAACTTGCTCGTAGAAGTGGTGACCGAGAGCATGTGCTCAGAGATCTTCTCCTTGATGTCCCTGGTGTAGGGGTGCTCTCCGATGGCGATGATCCAGCTCTGACCGATTGCCATCAAGCCCTCCGCTGTCTCGATTGCCTCCTTCATGTTCTGCTCGACCTCAGACGCCGAAGGAAGAACCTCTGGGCTCCTGCTGCCCGCCCGGTACCCACCATGTGGCTGGGCACTCCAATCAAGGCTGTCAGCGCCGTCGTCAATCATGATTGGCGACTCGGGCGCTGGAGGCGGAGCTGGGGGCCCCGCGCGGGCGAGCTCGCCGCCGTCGCCTCGGCCGGGTCTGCAGGCCGAGCCTGAGAAAGGGGCGAATTCGTCCTCAGCAGACATGACGTGTGTGATCGATAGAAACCGCGAGATCTAGCTTGAGCCTAAAGATGGCTATATCAACAGACAGCCACAACAGCAACACTCACATCGACAACACCCCGACGCAACACATCAGACACACAAACATCAACCAACGCGACAACATCGACAACGCCGTCCGCATGCACATCAACAACGACTCAAAACCAACACCCAACAAGCCCCTACAACGAGCCAGCCGCGACTATGTTGAACGTGGTCAGCAACCGAAGCAAGCGCGCACAAACATAACACAACATGACAACACTGCAACGTACACCACCAAATGTGCACAAACAGCCAACAAGCCAATAGAACGAGCCAGCCGCAATCTCGCAGAGCTCAATGAAAGCAACAACGACGGCACACATACGAGCAGCAACTTCTCCAACATAACCAACGCAAGCCAACGACGCAACGCTCAACAAGGGCAACCACGCGCACGCGCACCATCATGCACAGAGGTGCCAGACGCGGTGCAACCTGAGCCCCCCTCAGAGACCCTATCCCAGATCTACCCCATGTCCGCCATTGCGGGTTTGCAGGAATCTAAGGTCTCGCAGCCGTGGACGGCGCCACCTTCGTGCCAGTTGGGTTCTCTTCCTCCTCTTCCTCCTCGCCCCCTTCATCCTACTCCTCCTCCTCCTCCTCCCCCTCCTCCTGGTCTTCTTTCTCATCTTGCCCGACCCGCCTTTCTGTGCTACCCAACCGCTGGGTCATGCAGTGCTGTTTTATTATCCTGATGTTGTTGTGGCTGAATTGTGTTGCTGCTGTGCTCGCGGCCGTGACCTCCTAGTGCTCGTCATTGTGCGTGCGCGCTCTTAGTGCTACCACTGCCGTGGCTGCGTTTGCAATGCTATTGTTATGCGCATCGGTTTCACGTGTCTTTGTTTTTGGGGCGGGCTGGATGGGGATGATGACGCGGACTTTTTTTCTTCCGCACTGGTTTGTTTCACTACTAACCCAGTCCTGCTCCGAGAGAGTCTCCGCTGTGACTGCCGCAGCCGCCGATGGTTCATGAAGAGATGGCGTAGCCGAATCCGATGAGGCGCCGAAGCTCGTCTTGGACGTGAGGCGCCTCGCTGGTTTGCTGTACGGGAGCGTCTTCGACTCCGAACCCTTTGTGCTGGCATGCTTCTGCTGCTTGAACTTGCTGTAGTCTGCTGGCAGAGGCCCAATGTTGTCGGACTTGCCCTTGAATGCGAGTTCCCTCAGCTTCTGGGCGGAAAGAGCACTAGACGACTTCACGCTCGCCGATGGCGTTCGAAGCAGTTTCTTCTCAAGCTCATCGAAGTCATCGTTGATGTCCTCATGCTTGTGGTCGTCATCGAAGTCATCGTTGATGACCTCCGTTGATATCCTCGTTGCCTCATCACCGTCGTCCCCCAGCAAATCGATGATGGGAACCATGTTTGCCTTGACTGGCACCTCCTCGACCTCGCTATCACATGCTTGCTCTGGAACTGCTGGCTCTGGAACTGCTGGCTGTTGATTTTTCTCGTCGGCGTCGAGCGCGAGCTTGTCGATGATGATCTGAAGCTCCTCGTGGCCCTTGGGGGCCTTGCAAGCGTTGCGCCTCAAAGACAGAAGTGAACTCATCAATGTCCTCAGGTGAAGCACTGCCTGTTCGCTGTCTGCAAGGGACTAGTTCATCGAATGGTCACGTAACCACTTGTCGAACTGCTTGTGGAGCTTCTTCTGGTGCGGGATCCTCCCAGACGTCTTGTCGACGATGGCGTTGATGAGGTTTTAGTTCTTCTTCACCACGTGCCACTGGGAAGTGAGGCCGTGCTTGGAGAATCTGTCCAAGCGCCACAACTTGGTAGGCTGACAAGTCGCCATTGGCACGTGGTCCGAAAAAATATCATCACACATGTCGTCCGAGAGGTCGGCTCCCTTGGTGCGTGGAGCCTTCACCATACTTGCTTGAGCCCGAAAAAGCTATGACTTCACGGGTTTGTGCGGTGATAGTGGCGTTGCGCTCGTGAGGTCAAGCACCACGTGCCAGGGCCATCACACCAACACCACACCACCATCACCACTACAGAACGACCATACCACCGACACAACACAGCGCCACCATTTTGGCGTGGTTGTCGCGTGGCGGCGGTGTGGTCGTGCATTGTGGCGTTGGTGGTGCGGTGGTTATGTGATTATGAGAAGCCTTAGTGGTGTGGTGGTGTGGTGCGTTTCCATGGTGGTGCTGCGGTTGTAATGTGGTCTAGTTGTTATGTGGTGGGGTGCTGTGGCGATCAATGGTGTTGCGTATCTCCCTGAGAAATCCCCAAGAAATCCCCAAGAAATCCCCTGCACTGCTAATCTGAAGTCCCCAAGAAGGAAATAAAAGAGACGGCCTGCTCGACATCCTTCAACCCTCGTTTTGAATAAAGCCTTTTGGTGTTCAATATTACGGGCTTGCTTTTTGAAGATATTTGATGTTTTGAAGGGCTGATCTAAATACTTATTCTATATCTGTCTTCTATTTCTGCCTTGATGCATGATATCTTTAAGTTCCTAAAGGTTCTTCTGAGTTCTAGAGATCCTGAGCGTTTGGACGCGGCGCGCCGGGCCGCCCGCGGCGGGGGCCGGCCGCTGCTCCCTGCTGCGCGACCGCTCCAGGAGGTCGGGCACGTCACCTCGGGCCACGGAGGAGGAGGAGGAGGAGGAGGAGGAGGAGGAGGAGGAGGAGGAGGAGGAGGAGGAGGAGGAGCACGCGAGGCGGGCCGGTCCTTCTGTCGGGCGGCCTTCCCAGGCATCGGGCGTCTCGAAAAAGAACGAGACGGAGGTTTTTCGTCGTTTTCGGCCTCTCGGGGCCCTCGCCGGGCCTCGGGACCGTCAAAAAACGACGCGGGGTGAAAAACCGGTCCCGGGGAAGTGGTCGGGAGGTCGGGGGCCCGTGTCTCGAAAAAATCGAGACGTCGGATGTCTGGGACAAGACCCTTCCGAGGCCACATCTAGGGGGCCACATGCGAACCCTACCCCTACCCCCCACGATTTCTGAGGGGGAGGGTGGGGTAGGAATATTCGAAAATATTCAAACAGTAGTCAGGGGACGATTTTTGGAGCATGTTCGCGCATTTCTGGTATATTTTTTGGCTATGCTTTGTTTTTTTTTGTGCAGAATCCGCCTTCCGGGGGGACACGCCCGACCTAAAGGAGCACTCGTAGGCTTAGATCGGGCATGTCCCTCTGCAGGGGGATTTTGGACAAAAAACCAAAGATACCCCAGAAATATGCTGCCAGATGGTCAGAAAAGAGCCAAACACCCGTCCCGAGACTAGTTCTTGAAACTATTTTTGAATATTCCTCCTGTATCGGGGGTTGCTAAAGGTGCCCCTGGCACAAGGTGCCCCCAGCTTTTCGCTCAACATTGGAGCCCCTGGGGCCGTCTGGGGGTCGTGAGGGGTGCCCTGAAGGCCGTGGGGCCTCCTTGGAAATCCTGGGGGGCACCTTGTGCCAGGGGCGCTTCTAGCAACACCCGACTGTAGAGGGACAGGCCCGATGTCGTCGTACCCAGACATCCGACGTCTCGATTCTTTCGAGACACGGGCCCCCGACCTCCCGACCACTTCCCCGGGACCGGCTCTTCACCCCGCGTCGTTTTTTGACGGCCCCGAGGCCCGGCGAGGGCCCCGAGAGGCCGAAAACGACGAAAAAACCGCGTCTCGATTTTTTCGAGACGCCCGATGCCTGGGGATGTCGTCGTAGGCAAGCGAACCAGGACACAAACGTTACAACTCGGAGCTCCGCGCAGATTTCTCGCATCGGCGCCGGGCCTCCCTCCCTGGCGCGCGGGGCGCTTTTAGGGGCGGCGCCGGAGGCGCCGACAGGGGGATCCGCGCGGATCCGAGAAATTCGCGCGGACCTCCGAGTTCCCCAGACATCGGGCGTCTCGAAGAAATCGAGACGGAAATTTTTCGTCGTTTTCGGCCTCTCGGAGCCCTCGCCGGGCCTCGGGACCGTCAAAAAACGACGCGGGGTGAAGAACCGGTCCCGGGGAAGTGGTCGGGAGGTCGGGGGCCCGTGTCTCGAAAAAATCGAGACGTCGGATGTCTGGCTCTTATGCTTACGTCATTGCTCGTTCCCCAAACTCGGGGCGCGCTGGGCGCAGGAGCAGTCGGCATCGAGTCGGCAGGCCGCGTCGCATCGGAGCGTGCGCCGGACAGGCAAATCGGGTCGCCGAGTCGAATCGGTACGCCGGATCGGGCTGCCTCGGTACGGAGCCGGAACCGAGTCGGATCGGCTGCGCCAGGATGCACAAAGCCGCCCGTGCGAGCAACAGGCCGCACAGGATCGTCGGGACAGCTGTCCAAATCGCATCGGATCGAGCAGGCCAACATCGACGTCGGATCGGATCGATCGGATCGGGATGGACCCTGGCTGGGCGGCGGCACGGGCAGCTGCGAGGTCTGCGGGGGCGGCGGCTGCAGCGGCCCCTGCTCGGGAGAGACCACGATGTCGCCCTCCAGCCCCTCGTCGTGGAGCACGGAAGCGAAGCCGCGGAAGCAGCCCCGCGACCTGTCCTCGAGAGCGCGAGGGAGGAAGTGCAGGTCGCCGCCGAACTCCAGAGGCTGCCCGTGCACTGGCACGCCCTCCTCTGGGTCGAGAACTGGACGCTGCACGCCGGGGCCGTCTCGAGTCGCAGCTGGTGCCAGCCGCAATCCAGCGGCCAGCAGCTCCGCGAAGACGAGGGCGAGCAGCCGCCTCTCCTGGGTGGTCGGGAGCGAGACGTGCAGGAACCACTGCGGCCCCGGCAGCACGTGGCTGACTGTGGCCTCCTCGAGCGCTCCCGCCTCCGTCGGCAGCTGGAGCCTCAGGGCCGCCCCTGCTGCCAGTTTGTCCTGGAGGTTCTTCACGGCCGACGACGACATTGCCATGAGCAGCGAGCCCCAGCCCCTCATGCACACGAAGCTCTGCTGCAGGTCGAGGTCCAGCCACGATCTGACCGTGTCCTCGATCTTCTCGAGTACGTGGCGCGGACAGGACTTCCTCGGGGGGACCCCGGGCTTTGTGAACTTGATATGGCAGCCCTGTATGACCGATGCGCTTCCCAGAGGCAGACGAGTTTTCAGTTTCGCCTCCAAGCGGAGCCTGGCGGCGGCCAGCGCCTCTGGCTCCTGTATGCCCGGGAAGTCAAGCTCGATATCCGCCACAGTGCCGCAAGCACTGAGTAGAGCCCTCACGATCTTGGAGTCTTCAATATGGAATGCCGTGTAGCATCCAGATCTTTTTCTTAGCGTGTCGTGGCAACGGCCACGGCGACACGCTATGCCTTGCAAGCGGGTTGCGTGCCGCTCCGCTCCGCAAGGCGCCAGGCCGGGAAAAACTCGGGACGCTGACGCTCGGAAATGGCAAAATGGTTAGCGTGTCGCGCCGAACCGTGCTGGGCCTGAACCGGAGGCGCGACACGCTAGCCAAAAGATCCCCACCGTATGCTTTGTGAAAGCATCCGAGCTCCAACTCTCGGAGTGCCTCGGGCGCTTTTGCAGCCACAGCGCCTGGACGGAGGGAGGTGCGAGGAGAAGGAGGACAGGGCGGACGAGGACGAAGGGGGCAACGACCGCAGCACCCCGCGCGCGGCGAGGACACACGAGGGAAGGGCACGGCCGCGAGGGGTGAGCCATCCGACCCCGCCGCTGGGCTTCAGTCGGGCCTGTCCCCCTACAGGGGGATTTTCGACGAAAAATAAGAAATACCCCAAACATAACCAAACAATAATCCAAAAATAGTCTGAGGACTATTTTTTTGAATTTTTTTGGACCTTCTTGGGGCATTTTTGGGGTATTTTTCGTCGAAAATCCCTGTGTGGGGGGACACGCCCGACATAACGTTAGGCGCGCGCGCGCGCCCGCGCCTCAAAAGAGAACCCAGCCGTTAGCAGGAGCCCAAGGAATTCTCCGTGGGGTCGGGCGCTTTTCGGCGCTTCCGGGCGCTCCCGGGGTGCGCCGCGTGCCTTCCCCCCGAGGCCTCGGGAGCGTGGCGTCGGAAGCCAGACCTCCGTCGCGTCCGGAGACGATTCTGTGGGCTCGCCCTGCTGCCCTCTCGAGGGCCTTTGCACTCGGGACTGGCACAAGAGGTCAAAATCATTGAACACCTAAAAAAAACAAAAACAAACATATTTCTTATATATATAAATCCATGTTTTGCATTGCCAGAGCGTCCGTTACGGCCCAGGAAGCCGTCAAGAACGGGCCCAGACGGCCCAAGAGGCTCTCAAGAGGACTCACGAGCCACCCGAGGGGTCGCCAAGAGGTACCCCAATGGGGGAACTCGGAGTGGGCTCCAGGAACACTCTGCCTAGTGCAGCGACACCTACAGCAGGCCGCCCAAATGCCCCCAAGAAACACTTAGAGGCCCCGAGGAGGCCCTTGAAGGAATCTCCCGAGAGACTTCTAAAAAACCTCTTGCTGAGGATCCGGGAACGGTGGCGAGATGGACCAGGGCCCACCAAATCTGCCACCGTGCAGAAGGTTCCCGAGGTTTGGAAGCGTTCTTGCGTTCTCGACTTCTCGGGCTCCCGACAACTGAAGACGGCCCCCAGACGGCCCAAGAAGCCCCCAAGACTGCCAATATGCCTCTAATGTGCCCTCAAGGTGGCTCAATATACATCTAAGATGGCCCAAGATGAGCCCAGCGGCCTCAAGACGGCCCAAGAGGCCTCCAAGAGGCACTCCAGGAGGGCCCGAAGAGGCCCAAACCGATGATTATCCATCTGTTTTTCACCCAATCTCTAATCGAATCCTGCTAGTGCTCGATCGAGCTCTAACAGAATCTTGATATGGCTCGATCCAGCCTCAATAGCATCCTACTGAAGCTCGATCGTTGTCCCTCCCCCACTCTTTTAATTCTTTGAGGCCTGGAAATGGGCACCAACACTAACACAGGGGGTTGCCTCTGGTGATAATAGTTTGGCCACCTTGGAAGCCATAATCTTACCACCATCGCCAAGATTGGGATCTTCCCTCGGTGGAGGCACACCGCCGAAATTGGTGTTGGTGTCAACCTCTAGGCCTGCGATATTCAGCCACCCCCCCCGCCTGGTTCGAACCCCTCTCCCCCCCCTTGAGCCCTCCTCCCTCCCCGGTTCGAGTCCCCCCCCTTTGCAATTCAGGCTCCCCCCCCGGTTCGAACCCGCACCCCCCTTTTCCAGCGTTGACAGAACGCGCTCTTTCCGACAGTTGAGACCGCCCCCAAGGGCCTTCAGGATCCACGTGAAAGTGACGTGCTGCCAGAGGCAGGTCTGGAGCAGAGCAGAGCAGAGTGTAGCATTTTCTATCATGTGTCTTGTATGTTGAATGCAGATGCACATGATATAAATGTTAAGCTGTTAACTCATTGTTATCTAGCCCCCCCCCCCCCCCCAGAGTCACATCACATCTAGAAACCGAAGATGACGGGCCTTTCTGGGCTCTCAGAGCCTACGGAAATTTGCCGAACAGCAATCAATGATTTATGCCTCTTGACTCTTTCGAGGGTCCAAGCCGACTCTAGGGAGTCTCAAGATGTCCCGAAAGGACCCAAGATAGCTTCACGGCGACCCAAGGGGCTCCCAAGAGGGGCCCCCAAAAAGGCTTTCAAGGATGCCCAAGAGGGCTAGCGTAGGCAAAACTCAAGGACTGCCCAAATTTCCGAACAGATTTCAGCGTCCTCGCATTCTCGGGCTTCCCGACAGCCGAAGGCGGCCCCCAAGGCCTCCAAGATGGCCCAAGACGGCCCACATGCGCCCGAAGACGTTCCAAGAGGCCCCCAAGAGGCCCCCCAGAGGCTCCAAGATGCCCCCAAGAGGCTTCCAGGAAGCCCCACCAGCACACGATCTGCGGGTTCTGGACGCGCACCCCAAGAAGCGAGAGGACTACTCTCAAGACGGCCCAATAAGTCTCCAGGACGGCCTCCAAGACTGCCAGGATGGCCCAAGATGCCCCCCAAATGCTTCCAAGACGGATCACGATGCCTCCGGGATGGTCCGAGACGGCCTCAAGACGCCCTGGACAGTCCAAGGTGAACCCAAGACGGCCCAAGAGGCTTCCAAGAGGCCCTCCTGGAGGGCCCGACGTGGTCAAGAGGACTAATCCCGATTTGTTTTTCCACTGATTCTTGCGTTCTCGCCTCTTCGGGCTTCCGACAGCCGAAGACGAGCCCAGGGGCCCCCAAGATGGCCAGCCGCCACGAGAGCCCCAAGACGGGCCAAGAGGCCCCCGAGACGGCCCCACACCGCCCAGCCTGGCCCCAAAGACGGTCTTCGAGGGGCGGCCGACGGGCCAAGGTCGCCCTAAACGGCTCAAGAGGCCGCCAAGAAGTCCCCAGAGGCCCCCAAGATGCCCTCAAGATACCCCCTGAAGGCCCCTCAGAGGCCCCTCAGAGGCACCAAGAAAAGCCTTCAGGAAGCCCCCAGAAGGCCCCTAATAGGATTCCTCGTCCTCCTCCTCCTCCTCCTCCTCCTCCTCCATCCTTTTCCTTAGAAATTCGCCGGCCCAACGGGCCAAGGGCGTGCTAAGATCTCCCGTGACTGGTTAACAATATTCTAGTTCGCGTGCGCGGGGCCGCCCCTTGGGGTCCCCGGACGAAAAATACACCCGCAAGTTCAGGACAAGTCTCGGCAAGATCCAGGCCAGGTCCTGGGCAGGTCCCGGCCAGGTCCCAGCAGGCTCCCAAGAGCGTTCCAGGAGCGCTTCAAGTGGCCTCCAAGAGAGCTCAACACGGCCTGGGACGGCCCAAGGGCGATCCAAGACGCCAAAAAAGATGGCCTCCAGACAACCCAAAGCGCTTGCAAGACGCCCCCAGAGGCCTCCAAGAGACCTCCCAAGAGAGCCCACAGATGCAGAAATGAGTGAGTTTGCTGTAGTTTTTGAAGGTTTTTGGCGTTCTCGCCTTGGAGGCTTACTGGCGCTCCAAGACGGCCCAAGAGCTTCCAGGATCGCCCCAAAACAACCCAAGAGGCCCCCCAGACCCCCCAAAGAGACCCCAAGAGGCCTCCAAGAGGCACCCGTACCGCCCCAGGAGGTGTCAGACATACAGCCAAGAGGCCCCAAAAGAGGCCTCCAATCGTTTCACCAACCCTTCCTTCTTTCTTCCCATTCCTCCTTCTCCCCCCTCTGCGTCAACGACCCTCAATCCTCGAACGAAAGCGCGCCGCCAAGAGGCCCCCGAGAGGCCTCCCAGAAGACCCCAAGCGACTCCCAAAGACGCGCCTTGTCCATGACCGATTTCGCTCCAGCTTGACACAACAAGCTCTCCAGAGACCTCCTCCTCATCTGCATCCCCCCCTCTTCCTCCTCCTCGTCCTCCTCCTTCACCTTGTCGCTCGTAGCACCAATGATGCAAGATGGGCTGGCGGAGTGAGCGAAGCGATTCAATAACTCCTCCCTGTCGCACCGAGGGGCGTGTCCGTAGGGCGGACCGCGCGTTTCGCCTGAGACCTCCTCACCATTTATGATCCTTAAGCTAAGCGTTTGCAAACGCTTCACACATGGAGGGCGGGCCATTTTCAACATGTGGCTCTCGATGTAGCGCCGCGCGCATTGGTCCTAAACAACCACCGAGAGTTTCACATATTGGGGGGCGCACGCTTTCAAAATGTGGCTCTCGCCTTGGCGCTGCGCACATTCGTCTTGAACACATCCAACAAGTTGAACGGATTGTAGGCCGGCCGTTTTCAACATGTGCCTCTTGCCGTAGCGCCACGCGCATTCGTCTTAAACAAATGCCAAGAATTTTACGGATGGAAGGCGGGCCGTCTTCAAAGCGTGGGCTCGCCTTGGCACCGCACACTTTTTATGTTTGCAAGAGCTTCGCGGATGGAGGGCGGTTCGCTTTCAAAGTGTGGCTCTCGCATCAGCGCCGCGCACTTTCTTCTAAAATCAATGCAAACGTTTCACGGATGGAGGGCGGTCTATTTTGCAAATGTGGCTTTCGCCTTAGCGCCGCGCATATTTGTTGGAAGAGCTTGCAGCAGTTTCAAAGATTCTTAGGGTTAACGTCCCAGCAGCGACGGTCTTGTGGAACGATGTCAAACTGTCAGTGCTCTACACTTACGTTGATTCGCGGTGTTGAAATCCCAGGAACGGTGTTCTGGCACGATTCAGGATCGTCGAAACGCAGCAATTACGTTCGTTTGCGGCGATGAAATGACTGGAATGGTGTCCTGGCGCAATTCAGGCTTTTCAAACGGTGCACTTCCGACCGGGCACCTCCCCCAGTGATAATGAACCCTTGTAGAGGCCAATGAAGAGGGAAATTGGAGGCAGGGTTTATTGCAATATCGTTGATGTGTCTTTGGCCTACACTGGTCCTCCTCCTCCTCCTCCTCCTCGTCCTCCTTCTCCTCATCCTTCCCCTATTCCTCCCACGTGTGTTCCCCAGTGTTTCTACAACGGCTGGGGGAACACGTAGTCCAAGATCTCGGCCAGACTTTTGCCCAACGTTTGGCAACATAGTTAAGCAGTTCCAACATGCAGGCGGCGGCGGTGGTTCGGCGTAGGCATCTTCAATAATAAATGAGATAACGTGGCTTTTGTTGTACCACTTGCAGCCCTGGTCTCGACTTCTGGAAAGGAGGACAAAGAAATAACTCTCGGTCTCGGATGTCGGGCCATCCTTGCAGATCCTTGAAAATCTCACGGAATCTGCCGGCGTGGTCGTTCGCTTGTAGATGGCCACGGTCAGGGCTAAGGAAGAAGTTCGCGGCATTTATAAACCTTCTCAGAAACTCCTCAGCGAAATGAGTGTGCTCATCCCCGTGCGGCACCAACTTGCAAGCAATGAAAGAGAAATTCTCTGCGCTGGTTATCATGTCCCCAGCGCTGCTCTCGTCGATATCCTCGCCGTTCGTACAGCATCCCAGCCAATTCTCGCGCTCTACTAAGCGCATCTCCTTCATGACGATCTCGCACGCATGTCGAACTCCCATTTTCCAGACGGACTGGACTCTTGATGCATCCGGAACATGAACGAATACAATCCTCGGCTTGTGGTCAAGCAGAACATTCCTGAGATCTGTGAGAGAAGGCAGCTCTGCCCAGCGAACGCCGCCAGGAACTCCGAGCAGGTCAGTCGGCACGCCAGGCAAAAGATTCCGAAATCGTTGTTCAAAGCCATCCTGCGTGAGATCGCATGATGGTTGGATCACAAAGACTCCACATCGGCGGGGACTGCATCTATTCGAAAACAAAGATCTCAGTATTTTGGGCGACGGCCAACTTTCCAGTCGAACAATTACATCTTGCGCCTGGGAACTCTTCAATGGCATATTCCACTTTCGCGGCCGCCAATAATAGCTCTTGTTGTTCTGATCTGCTGTCTCGGTGTCCCTCAATGTCCATGCCTGGAACACCGCCAGGTCAGTCACGTCCATTCTCTTGTTTACGATCTCCTGGCATATCTCCTTGGCCAAATCGTTTTCTGCTATTCCACATTTCATTTCGACGTGCAGGCACTGGGAATTCGTTGTGCCGCTGCAGAAGGCGCGCTTCTTCTGAGTGTCCTCACGCAAGTACTGCATCCTGCACATGGCGAACAGGCCGCTGCTTTTATCAAAATATCCTTGCTCTTTCACGCGCTTGTCGTTCTGTCGTTTAGAAGAGAAAGTGATGACTTCCGCCGTCACGGCGGATGTAAAGGCGCCTAGGAACTGCTGCGCAACCGGGATCCCAGCGAACCCAGCGAGCGATTTCATGATCAAAGTTGCTACATTCTCGGCTCTATAGCTCCACTCTTCAGAACTGAAGCTCTGATAGAAATTCTGAAAACCTCCCATGATGGGCTTCTCTCCCTTCGAAAAGCAAGTCTCCACCTCCAATGGCGACAGCGAGATCCGCTCCATCATGGAGCTCAGCTCGTCAGTGTGGGTGTTGCCTGTGTCGAGCTCCATGTCGTGATCTTCCTCAGCCTGAGCCTCTTCCTGGTAGTCGGGGGCAGCGACGTCGTCGTTGAAATCGTCTTCGAGTGCGGAATCATATCCTATGCAAGAGAGTGTCTATACTCCACCACCATACCCGACCAAGCCCATCGGGTCCCTGGGATGGTGTATAAACCCTCCGTGCCTCCGCCAAGAAGGCGTATACACTATGCCGTGGCGAAGGGTGGCCCTGGCCAGGCATGATGGTGGTGTATAGGTGTTCTCTGTAAATGATCGAGGAACAAGAAACGACATTAACATAGCTTTTCTGAGGTCCGCGCGGATCCTTGAGTCGGCAACCGACCCCCTCCCTGGCGCGCTCCGCGCGCCAGGGGTGGTACCAGAGGCGCCGCCAGGGAGCCCCAATTCAGAGCCAAGAACTCCGCGAGGACCTCCGAAAGCTTATGTTGGCGGCGAGCTTGGGGGGAAGTGAGAGGGAGCAGGCCTTCTCAGAAGACGGCGCGAGGGGTTCTGAAAAGCCCCGCCACCTTCTGAGAAGGCCTGCCCCGTCTCACTTCCGCCCAGGGCTCGCCGCCAATTATGTTTATGCCGTTCTTCTCCTTCGGCTCTGCGGATCTCCTCGAAAGCTGCCGCGCGACCTGTCCTCGGCGCGGCCCTCACGAACCTCCTCGACGCTGGGCGGCGAGCGGGCCGCCGACTCGCAGACAGGCCCCTCGGGGAGCCGTCGGCGGCGCCGCGCGACAGGCCTCTGCCAAGGCTCGGCCTAAATCATGTTTTCCGTTCTCGTTATCTTTTCGTTTTCCATCGTTTTCCGTTTTTTTTTTTTTTTTTGTCTCTCGGAAGGCCCAAGCGTAACCCTAGGACAACATGCCCCCAATGAGGTGTCACAGTGGCCACGGTTACAGCCACGGTGGGCGCCAAAACGCAGCCGTTGGGATCCCCGAGGTGGGCCCTGAGGCTCCCTCTCCAGGGTAAGTCTGCTCTGGGGGACGTTTGGCCTCCCCCGAGTTCTGTCTTTGTTCTGTCTTCTTTCTGCAAGACGAATGTCAAAGCGAACGCGGCCCACGAAGTCGCCCAAGCACAGTTGGTAGAGGAAGGCCGAATCGTATCAAATACACACTTTTGATGGCTTGGGCGGATATCTTGGATCTGCGCTGGACCCCCCTTCGTGGCGTGGAGCGCGCCAGGGGCGGCGCTGGGGGCGCCGCCAAGGGGGGGTCCAACGCAAACCCACGATGTCCGCGCGGACCGTCGAAAGCTCGTGCTTCTGCAGATTCTTCTCCATCGACTTAGGCTCGAGGCCCGGCCTCTGCTCCCGAGGCGGCGGTGGCAGAGCTCGCTCGCCTCGGCCCGCGCGAGCATCGCACGGCGGCAGGTCGGGCGCTGGCTCGCCTGAAGGGGAACTGGGACACACAAATAAATACACACAAATAGAAGTATTCCCCATATTTTCCCATATTTTTGGGGTTTCTGTCTTCCCCCCCACTTCCCATATTTTCCCATATTTTCTGGGAATCGATGATTAATTGTGTCCGTGTGTTTTTTCCTCTCCTCATCGCCGTCGGGCCCGCCGCGCCGCCGCCGCTGCCTCGGGGCGCCGTGCATCTGCGGCGCGCGGGCCGGGGCGGGGGCTCTGCCCCGTGGGCGCCTCTCGAGGAGCTGCCTGTGCTTCGGCACGCCGGGTGCTGCGACGACTGGCGGCGCGCACAAGGGGGCGGGGGGAGGGGGGAGGGCTTCTTAGAAGCAGGCTGCTTCTTAGAACGCGCCGGCCTTTATAGATAAGGCCCGCGCCTCCTAAGGAGCAGGGGTGCTTCTGAGAAGCCCCCCCCCCTCCCCCCACCCCCCTCTGCGCGTGGCTGAGACGACTCGGCGACTCCGAAGGATGTGGCTTGCAGAGGGCGGGGTTTGCAACCCGCACGCAGGGGGGCGGGCGAGGACCTCGACACAGTTCTCCGCCGCGCACCGAGGAGGCTCGACAAGGGCAGCGTGGTGCCCTACGAGCCCCAATGGCGCAGATCGCAACCCCACTCCGGCGTAACCACACCCTCTGTAGTCGCCGAAGGACTGCCAGCCGGGGGGCTGCCGCGGGCCTGCCGGGATGGGGCCGATCGTGGGTGGGCGCCGCCGCAGCGGGATGCCGCGGCGACTGGCGCGCGCGCGCTGCGAGACTGGCGTGCGCCTCGAGCAGAAACTGCTGGAACACATTTGACCGTGATAGCGTTTTTTATTCCTCCCCCGTAACGTCCGTGCCGGGGGGGTTTGGCCGCCGTGCTGGGAGTAACGGTAACGTGGCGGCCTCGGGCATTGGTACCAGCAGTAGTGCTGGCAATAATGAATCCTTGTGCAGCCCATGCAGACGACGAGGGCGACGACGACCACCAGCGGCGACGACAACGGTAACGACAACGGCAACGACAACGGCAGCGAAGACGCCGACGACGACCACGACACTGACCGGCCAGGATGGCGACGACGGCGACGACGACGATCCGCGGCGGCGGCGACGAAGACGACGACCAGCGGCGACGACAACGACGACCAGCGGTGACGACAACGACTGGCGGCGTCGACAAATAGTAGCATTAGACAAATGTGAAGTATCAACACTAGTAGAAGCAGTCGCACAAGACGTCGCCGTAGTAGTACAGTTAAGCGTACAAGCGCGAGTAGTACTGGTGGTACCACTACAACTATAGCACTGCAGCAAGCATAACTGCAACTACTAATGTCACAGCTGCAACCACAACGACTACTACTCCTACGGCTAGTACTTCGGTGGTAGTGACACTAGAACTAGCAGACGTAATACTAGTAGTAGCAGCAGTAATAGGCATAGTACGAATAGAAGCAATAGTCGTCGTAAAAGTAGTATCAGTAGTAGTCGTAGTAGTAGTAGTAGTAGTAGTAGTAGTAGTAGTAGTAGTCGTAGTCGTAGTAGTAGTAGTAGTAGTAGTAGTAGTAGTAGTAGTAGTAGCAAGAGTGGTAGTAGTAGTAGAAGTAGTATTATTATTATTAGTAGTAGTAGCAGTAGTAGAAGTAGTGGAGTCGTCGTCGTCGTCGACGTAGTTGCACTGGTGGTAGTAGTAGTAGTAGTAATAGTCATAACAATACTGGAGATAGTGGTAATCGTAGTCCTAGTAGTTGTAGTGGTAGTATTAATTGTAGCAGTAGTCGCAGTCGTAGTAGTAGTAGTAGTAGTAGTAGTAGTAGTAGTACTACTACTAGTAGTAGTAGTAGTAGTAGTAGTAGTGGTAGTAGTAGTGGTAGTAGTAGTAGTAGTAGTAGCAATCGTAGTGGTAGTGGTAGTGGTAGTAGCAGTAGTAGCAGTAGAAGTAATAACAATGAACAATAATACTAGTGGGAGTAGTAGACATAGTCGTGGTAGTACCAGTAGTAGTAGTAGTAGTAGTAGTAGTAGTAGTAGTAGTAGTAGTAGTAGTAGCAGTCGTAGTAGTAGTAGCAGTAGTAGTAGTAATAGTAGTAGTCGTAGTAGCAGAAGTAGTAGTAGTAGTAGTAGTAGTCGTAGTAGTAGTAGTAGTAGTAGTAGTAGACCAAGTAGTAGTAGTAGTAGTAGTAGTAGTAGTAGTAGTAGTAGTAGTAGTAGTAGTAGTAGTAGTAGTAGTAGTAGTAGTAGTAGTAGTAGTAGTCGTAGTAGCAGTAACAGTAACAGTACTAATCGTAGTAGTAGTCGTAGTCGTAGTAGTAGTAGTAGTAGTAGTAGTAGTAGTAGTCGTAGTAGTAGTAGTAGTAGTAGTGGTAGTAGTAGTAGTAGTAGTCGTAGCAGTAGTAGTAGTAGTAGTAGTAGTAGTCGTAGTAGTAGTAGTAGTAGTAGTAGTAGTAGACAGCAGTAGTAGTAGTCGTCGACGACGTAGCTGTAGCGGTAGTAGAAGTAGTGGCAGTAATAGTAGTAGTCGAACAAGTGGTAGAAATAGTGGTAGTTGAAATGGTGATAAGAGTCGTAGTAGTAATCGCCGTCGTCGTCGTCGTTAGTGGTAGTAGTAGTAGTAGTGGTAGTTGGAGTAGTCGTAGTCGTAGTCGTAGTCGTAGTAGTAGGCTGAAGACATCAGACTAGTCGTAATAGTAGTAGTGTTAATAGTAGTGGTAGTGGTAGTAGTAATCGTAAAAAGAATGGTGGTAGTAGTGGTAGTAGTAGTAGTAGTAGTAGTAGTAGTAGTAGTAGTAGTGGTAATAGTAGTAGTCGTAAGTCGTAGTCGTAGTCGTAGCAGAAGTAGTAGCAGTAGCAGTAGCAGTAGCAGTAGCAGTAGTAGTAATAGTAGTAGTCGTAGTAGTAGTAGCGGTAGTGGTAGTTGTAATAGTAGTAGTGGTAGTAGTAGTAGTAGTAGTAGTAGTAGTGGTAGTAGTGGTAGTAGTAGTAGTAGTAGTAGTAGTTGTAGTAGTAGTAGTAGTAGTAGTAATAGTATCAGTAACCGAAATAGTCGTAGTAGTAGTGGTCGGAGTAGTAGTAGTAGCAGTAGTCATAGTACTAGTAATAGTAGTAGTAGTAGTAGTAGTAGTTTTAGTAGTCGTAGTAGTATCAGCCGTAAGAGAAATAATAGTAATAGTATTAGTCGTAGAATTCGTAGTCGTAGTAGTAGTTGTAGTAGCAGTAGTAGTAGTAGTAGTAGTCGTAGTCGTAGTCGTAGTCGTAGTCGTAGTAGTAGTAGTAGTAGTAGTAGTGACAGTAATCGTCCTCGTAGTAATAGTCGTAGTGGTAGTAGTAGTGGTAGTAGTAGTAGTAGTAGTAGTAGTAGTAGTAGTAGTAGTAGTGAAAGTAGTAGTAGTAGTAGTCGTCGTAGCAGGTGGCAAGAATAGTAGTAGTAGTAGTAGTAGTAGTAGTAGTCGTAGTGGTAGTACTCGTTGTAGCCGTAAAAGTAGTAGTATAATCAATCGTAACAGTAGTAGTAGTAGTAGTAGTAGTAGTAGTAGTAGTAGTAGTAGTCGTAGTCGTAGTCGTAGTAGTAGTAGTAGTAGTAGTAGTAGTAGTAGTAGTATGAGTAGTAATAGTAGTGGTGGTAGTCGCAGCAGAAGTAGTAGTAGCAGTCGTAATAGCAGCAGTCGCAGTAGTACTAACATAAGTAGTGGTTGTAGCAAAGCACTGGTAGTAGTAGTGGTAGTAGTAGTAGTAGTAGAACGCATAAATCGTAGTAGTAGCTGCATTAGTCGTAGTGCTAGTCGCAGTATTGATAGAAATGGTAGTAGCAATGATAGTCGCGGTAGTAGTGGTAGCAGTACTCGTAGTAGTGAAGGTAGTAGTCGTAGTGGTAGGAGTAGTAGTAGTAGTAGTAATAGTAGTAGTAGTAGTAGTAGTAGTAGTAGTAGTAGTAGTTGTAGTAGTAGTAGTACTAGTAGTAGTAGCACTCGTGGCAGTATACGTAGCATTAACAATAGTAGTGATAAAACTTGTAATCATGGTTTTCGTGAGGGTAGTAGTGGTAGCATGAGTGGTAATAGCAGTAGTAATATTAGTAGTATTGGTATAGGTAGTAGTAGTGTAGTAGTAGTAGTAGTAGTAGTAGTAGTGGTAGTAGTGGTAGTAGTAGCAGTAAAAGTAGTAGTAAGACTAATCGTAATAGTAGCAGTGTCGTAGTTGTGATAGTTCTCGTAGTAGTCGTCGCAGTAGTAGTAGTAGTACTAGCAGAGGAAGTAAAAGTAGTAGTAGTGGTGGTCGTAGTAGTAGTAGTAGTCGTAGTAGTAATATTCGGAGTACAAGTCGTAGTCGTCGTCGTGTTCGTCGTCGTAGTAGTAGTAGTAGCAGTAGTTGCAGTCGCATGTGTAATAGCAGTAGTAGTAGTAGCAGTAGTAGCGGTCGCAGTGGTAGTGATAGTGGTGGTAGTAGTAGTAGTAGTCGTAGTCGTAGTAGTTATGGTAGTAGTAGTAGTAGTAGTAGTAGTAGTAGTAGTAGTAGGGGTAGTAGAAGTAACAAATACTAGTAGTGGTAATAATCGGCATAGTCGTGGTAGTAGCAGTAGTAGCAGTGGTAATAGTAGTAGTACTGGTGGTAGTAGTAGTAGTAGTAGTAGTAGTAGTAGTAGTCGTAGTAGGCTGAATAGTAGTAGTAGTAGTCGTAGTAGTAGTAGTAGTAGTAGTAGTAGTAGTAGTAGTAATAGCAGTAACAGTAGTAGTAGTAGTAGTAGTAGTAGTAGTAGTAGTAGTCGTAGTAGTAGTAATATTAGTAGTAGTAGTAGCCGTAGTAGTAGTAGTCGTAGTAGTAGTAATAGTGATAGTAGTAGTGGTAGTAGTAGCCGTAGTAGTAGTAGTGGTAGTAGTCGTAGTAGTGGTCGTAGTAGACAGCAGTCGTAGTAGTCTTCGGCGAAGTAGCTGTAGCAGTAGCAGAAGCTGTAGCAGTAAAAGTAGTATTCGAAAAAGTAATAGAAGCAGTGGTAGTCGAAATGATAATACGAGTCGTAATAGTAGTCGTCGTCGTCGTCGTTGTAATGGTAGTAGTAGAAGTGGTAGTTGTAGTAGTCGTAGTCGTAGTCGTAGTCGTAGTAGTCGGATGAAGGCATCAGACTAGTCGTAGTAGTGGTAGTAGTAGAAGTAGTGTTAATAGTCGTGGAAATGATCGTAGTAATAGTAAAAGCAAAGGTGGTAGTAATAGTAGTAGCAAGTCGTAGTCGTAGTAGTAGGAGTAGTGGTAGTAGTAGTGGTAGTGGTAGTAGTACTAATAGAAGGGGTTGTAGTAGTGGTAGTAGTAGTAACAGTAATCGAAGTAGTAGTAGTAGTAGTAGTAGTGGTAGTAGTAGTAGTAGTAGTAGTAGTAGTAGTAGTAGTAGTATTAGTAGTAGTAGCAGTCGTGGCAGTATCAGTAGCAGTAGCAGTAGTAGTGGTAGTAGTAGTGGTAGTAGTAGTAGTAGTAGACTAAGTAGTTGTAGTAGTAGTCGTAGTAGTAGTAGTAGTAGTAGTAGTAGTCGTAGTCGTAGTAGTAGTAGTGTAGTAGTAATAGTAGTAGTAGTAGTAGTAGTAGTAGTCGTAGTAGTAGTAGAAGTAGCAGTAGTAGTAGCAGTAGTAGTAGTAGCAGTAGTAGTAGTAGTAGTAATAGTAGTAGTAGTAGTGGTGGTAGTAGTAGAAGTAGTCGTAGTAGTAGTAGTAGTAGTAGTAGTAGTAGTAGTAGTAGTAGTAGTAGTAATAGTAGTAGTAGTAGGCAGCAGTAGTAGTAGTCGTCGGCGGCGTAGATGTAGTGGTAGTAGAAGTAGTGGCAGTAATAGTAGTAGTAGTAAAAAAAATGGT